ATGTGACTCGTTCAAAAAATTGCCTGTAGACAAGCGTTTTAAAATCGTAAAGAATTCACGTTTATGCATCAATTGTCTAAAAACTAACAAGCATCAAGCCAAAACTTGTCCTTCTTCGTCTTGTCGCAAGTGTCAAAAGACGCACAACACTCTGTTGCATTTTGAATCAAATACAGAACCAGAGATCAATCAAAATGTATCTTCAGATGACAAGGAAATGTCTATTCCTGTAGTCACACAATGTTCGTTACAAAATCCCTCGAAAATACTCCTATCTACCGCAATAATACACGTAGAAGATTCAAGGGGCAAGGCTCATGCCTGCCGAGCATTATTAGATAGCGGCTCGCAGCTAAATTTTGTAACTGAGGATTTCGCCAAAAGGTTGCGCTTGAATAAACAATTCATAAATATGCCAATTTCGGGCATTGCACAGGGTAGTATCAATGCAAAAAATTCAATCAATCTAACAATACAGTCTCGATTTAATAGATATCGAGATCGATTAAATTGCATTATCTTGCCGAACATAACTTAAAAATTGCCACAAGACTTTATTCATCTTTCGCGATTCAAAATCCCTCCGAATATTCAATTAGCAGATCCTAATTTTAACGTACCTAATGACATTGATCTCTTGATAGGAGCCGAGGTATTTTGGCAACTCTTATCCATAGGCCATATTAAGGCGTGTCAGGATCATCCTACAATCCAAAAAACGAAACTTGGTTGGATTCTTTCGGGTCATATCGTTGACCCTCTCGTTCAGAGAAAAAGAAGGCTGCTCTTTGTCATGTAAGTACAATTGACGATCTTAACAAGGCCATCTCCAAATTTTGGCAAGTAGAAGACAATTATCGTCATAACACAAATGTCTTTTCACCTGAGGAGCTCGCTTGTGAGACACTTTTTCAGGAAAGCACTCTGCGAAATGATGAGGGTAGGTTCATCGTCAAACTTCCCATCAGAAATGATATAATCTCGCAAGTAGGCGAATCCAGAGAAATTGCAGAACGTAGATTTTTCGCATTGGAAAGACGATTATCGAAACAACCTGATATTTATGAGGAGTATCGTAGATTTATGCGTGAATATCAGGACCTTAATCACATGAATCCGATTGAAGTAACAGCAGAGCATGATAACAATATTCAATATTATTTGCCTCATCACGCAGTTCTGAACAATACAAGCACCACAACCAAGCCGCGTGTTGTCTTTGACGCCTCGTGCAAATCTAAGTCGGGAAAGTCATTAAATGACGCTTTGCTTGTTGGTCCTACCATCCAACAGGATTTATTCTCAATCTTATCTCGTTTTCGTACATTTCGCTTTGCAATGACAGCCGACATTGCAAAGATGTATAGACAAGTTCTTGTTGATCCATCTCAGCGATGCCTTCAACGTATTTTTTGGCGTGATACTCCACAGCATAAGTTGAAAACGTTCGAACTCGCCACTATAACATATGGCACAGCTTCAGCATCATTCTTAGCTATACACTGTTTACAAGAACTCGCACAAGAGGGTTCGACTTTATTTCCAATAGGATCAAAAATCATTTTGAGAGATTTTTATGTTGATGATATGCTCACTGGTGCTTCCACTCTAAATGAGGCTTTACATATCAAGGAGCAAACAATGGCCTTACTTCAAAAAGGTGGCTTCAAATTAAGAAAGTGGTTCTCGAATAATTCTCTACTGCAAGACGAGTGTCTTGCAATTGACAAGGAAATTGATGCGGGAAATGAATGTGATAAAACTCGTGCCTTAGGAGTGTTTTGGAATTGCAAACGAGACACTTTCAACTTTGTAAATTCTAATAATTATCAATCATCAATAAAGCCAACCAAACGAAACATTTTAGCGAGAATTGCATCAATCTTTGATCCCTTGGGATTTTTAGGCCCTGTAATAGTAGTTGGAAAGCTTATCATGCAGGAATTATGGTTGCTAAAAATCGATTGGGATGAATCAATTCCCATGGATCTTATCACGAAATGGCAAGATTATGAGCAGCAATTAAAATGCTTAAGCAATATTGAAATACCCGCAAGATAACAGTTGATGAGCCAAAACTTCTTGAAATACATGGTTTTGCCGATGCCAGTCAGCAAGCCTACGAGGCATGCGTATATCTACACTCTTTATCTCCTAACGGTGAGTTTAAAGCTCATATGATCGCATCCAAATCTCGTGTGTCTCCGGTTAAGAGTATCTCAATCCCGCGTTTAGAGCTCTGCGGAGCACTTTTGCTTGCTCAGCTAATCGACAAATTACATAGATGTTTAGATCTCGAAGGCTACATACTATTGGACTGACTCTAGTATCGTTCTGCACTGGCTAAGAGGAGTTAGTCGTAATTGGACAACCTTTGTCGCCAATCGCGTAGGCGAAATTCAATCGCTGTCATTGATTGAGAATTGGCGGCATGTATCGAGTAAGGAGAACCCAGCAGACTTACTTTCGAGGGGCGTTATGCCCGAACTGTTAGCACAATCAACGACTTGGTGGCACGGGCCTGAGTGGTTGGAAGGTATGGACTCTGGATGGCCTGTTTCTGTCATAGACGCGCCAAACGATATCCCGGAAAAAAGGGGATCTAGCAAATCTTGTTCCTCTTTCATCGTCACTTTGGAATCAAAATTCGATATATTTGAGAAATATTCAAGCTATAAAAAACTCATAAGAATCTTTGCATTCTGCTTGCGATTTATCAATGCAATCAAACATAAGCAAGATAAATTCAATCATAAGTGTTCAAACGATAACTTGATTAAACAAGTACCACCATGTTCCAGTGAAGAGTTAGAAAACGCCAAATTGGCTCTCGTTAAAATAGTGCAAAGGAGTTCGTTCAAAGGGAGATTGACGATATCTCTAAATTCGGTGTCGTAAACAGGAAAAGCTCGGTATTAAAGTTAAATCCTTATCTAGACGCGAATGGAATTCTGAGGGTTGGTGGTCGTCTGAAGCACTCAAAAATTATCATATGATGACAAAACATCCTATTTTAATACCCGGTCGTCATAGCTTTACCCGGCTAATTGTAATTCATGAACATACCCGATTGCTTCATGCTGGGGGCTCAAATGACTCTGTCCGCGATTCGACAAAATTTTTTGGCCATGCATTGGGCGTAGTGTCGTGCGTAATATTATAAGTAAATGCGTAATCTGCTTCCGTAATGTTCCCAAGTTATCCAATACCCTAATGGGAGATTTACCTGAATCTCGCGTTAGTGTCTTCAAGAGACCCTTTGAAAAATGCGGAGTCGACTATGCAGGTCCGATGTATTATAAAGAAGGGCAGCGTAAAAATTCGCGATTAGTCAAATGTTTCATTTCTATATTTGTATGTTTTGCGGCAAAGGCGGTACATATAGAATTAGTTGGCGACCTTACTACGGAGACTTTTTTGAATGCGCTGAAACGATTTATTTCCCGAAGAGGTCGACCAAGTGACATTTACTCTGATAATGGCTTGAATTTCGTCGGTGCTGAGCATCAACTTAGCGAACTGTACGACATTCTCAATGATGATAAGTCAAGAAGAAAAATAATTGAAAATACAAGCGGTGAACGTATAAACTGGCATTTCATTCCACCGAGGGCCCCACATATGGGAGGGCTTTGGGAAGCAGCAGTAAAGGCCGCAAAATTTCATATTAAACGCATTATCGGAGAGGCTTCATTGCGCTACGATGAATTCTTGACACTATTAGTACAGATTGAGGCCATTCTCAACTCGAGACCGCTTACTCCATTATCAGCGGATCCAAACGATCTGTCAGTTCTCACAGCAGCGCATTTTTTGATAGGTTGTCCTATCACGTCGTATCCAGAAGCAAGTCTGGAAGGATTAAATGAGAATCGATTAACAAGATGGCAACGCGTCGAACAATTACGCCAACATTTTTGGAGGCGATGGACCAAAGAATATTTACATAATTGTCAGCAACGGAGCAAGTGGAACACGGTTGGAGTTCCTGGTGACAGTAGGACAATTAGTAATAGTGCAAGAAGACAATTTGCCTCCGTTAGTCTGGGCTTTAGGTCGGATTGAAGAAACTTGTCCAGGAGATGATGGAATAGTGCGCGCAGCATTAGTGCGTACCGCTAAGGGTATTTACAAACGCCCTATTACTAAACTTTGTATGCTTTCTATAGATTAAGTCTCGTCAGCGTTTATTTTTCCTTGCGTTCATTCACATAGTATATAAGTTTTGCTCAAGTTAGCGTAATATCATATATTTTCATATGCACTAATTTTGGGTTTGTTAATTGAAAGCACTGGCTTTCAAGGCGGCCGGTATGTGCGCGCGTATTTGTATCGCGCGCCTTTTTCCGTGTTTTGTTTGGCTGCGTGAGGGGAACCCCTCAAATATCGTGCCCCTCCTTTAGTGTGAAGCGGATGGGTGTGCCGCGCGCCAAGAGTAGTAGTAGAAGCGCCTCTCTAAGTGTATCACGACTTGTAAAAAATAGCGTCCGCATACGCAAGGAATCTTTTAAATAAAGAAACCTATTAAAATTATACATAGTGATTGTCCAAATGTGTGGCAAGGTCCGTTATTGCTCATTTGTCTTGTGTGATTAAAGGAAAAACTAAAGACCAGCAAATTAAAAACATGAATTGACCAAATCATGTTTATTGCAAAAGATATCGTCAGAGATGTGCTCCATAATTTGTTTTCTACCGCTCCATCTGTCTAGTCCGTCGGATTTCGCTTTCTTTTAGATCAGGGGTCGGAATTATTTCATCTTTTCGGCCGATTCTCGTGGTATACGCCTTCTTCTCTCTCCTTACCGCGCGCGCGGCAGCCGCTTGGGCCAGCGCCGCCGAGCATTAGGAGCGGCGCTATAAGGATAGGAAAAGAGGTGTATACCACGAGAATCGGCCGAAAAGATAAAATAATTCCGAGCCCTGTTTTAGATGATCTCGAATTTGTTGATTTCTTGAATTGCTATAGATGTCGCAGGACTGCTACGGATTGTTTAAGACTGCCTCGATCTACTTAAAACAGTGTAAGATTGCGCCCCGTTCATGAAATGCGTTTTTACAACATTAAATAAGCAATATTCTTTATCCAAAAATAGAATCAATTAAACGACGATAATTTCAAGAATGTTTTTTATCATCGAATCAGTAGAAGAAATCATATTTGGCTACTCGTTATAAATTAAGCGTTTCGGAAAAACAGCGAGGTTTCCTAAATGAAACTTAGATGTACCTTCATTACCAAGAAATATATATTAACTAAAGAAGTTGTGAGATCGATATATCGGCGATTTCCAATAGTGAAGAATCGCGCACCATATAATATGATAGAAGCAACTTTTAATTCATGTATGAAAGCTCTGTTCTTAGATTGTCCATGTAATCAAATAAAGGCAAATATTAATATTACTTTTCGTCCTACAACTTATGATATTTCAAATTTGTTTTTGCATAAGCATAGAAATATTCAAAATATTTTATTTTATATTATTTTATTTTTGACAAAAATTATTTTCTTGCGAGTTACATTATACATTCCCAGACATATTTTATACCTCGGAGTCAATTCTTTCTTTACTATCCAAGCGAGAAATAACCTATCAATCGACGTCAAATCAATGTCTAATTGACATCAAAATCATCGATATTGCATCGTGTTGATGTTGACTCGACAATTCGAAAAGTTATTTCTCGCTAGGTATAAAACATTTATAGTTGTCAAATAATTTTCTATAATTTATTGTGAATCAAAGAAGACAAATATCTGCTCTAACAAAAATTTGCAGTATGAGAAGGAATAATTAAATTAAATAAATATTACTTAAACCGAGATAGACCGAGGAGCCCATAATTTGTAACTTGTCTTCCATACTCGTCTATTCGTTTTTTAATTTTCCTTTCAACAGCATCAACTAGTCGCTCTTCTTTTAATTTAGTTTTTACGAATACAGATATCTAAGACAAATTATTTCCATAATATCAATAACCTAAAATTTTTTCGCACTACAGTTTATAAGAGCATAAATTCTGATTAAAGATAATCAGTTGAGATATGACATGAAAAATTAAATAAAAATAAGCTCAATTTTTAAATAGCTCAGAAATGAGTGTTATTTCAGTTAGAAAAATATACCTTATTCAATTGCTCTACAGCATGTTGATGCGTAATAATGACAATTAATGTTGCAATATTGTCGGTTTGCCTGCAAAAAAGTAAAGTGATAAATATTGTTATTTAAAAAGGCAATAAGAATGAAAAAGACGCTGGTGAATAAAAATTATAAATATAACCACTATTTATATAAATATAGAGATATAATTACAAAAAAATTATTATTACGTGTTGGAGATGAACATAAATGTATTATCAATGAGATTTTGTAAAATAAAATCGCAAACTTTATCCTTTCTTGCATGCCTCGCAACGGTAAGAAGAAATATGTGAGCACGTGTATTGTTGTGTTGTAACAAAAAATTATTAATCGAATTCACCAGCAGATAATTAGAAATAACTGCAGGATTTTCACTGCAAGTTAAGTATTCTAAAAATTTTATATCATTAGGTGTTGCTGCCCATTTGTTCCATACGTCATACCAAATGGTGCTGTTCGCTGACACCAAACCATTACAATACATCCATTCTTTCCATTCCGATTGCGTTACAAAACTGCATTACCAAAAAAATATTTCATACAAAATTTAGCTCATTTTATGATAAAAATAATTCATCTAATACAGTATTCGATGTATAGAATATAAGTATACATAATGCAACAGAAATTGTTTATATAAATATTGTGGTTGTACAACATCTTACATGCCACTTTCAGAATATAGATCTCTTGTCATTTGCATATTGGCTACTTCTCTGCATTCTTTGTTTGCAATAATACATGCCCATTTTACGGCCTCCTCTCTTAAACATTCGATGAGATCGCTTTCGTATGGTTGTGATTCGTATTTTATTCGATCCAGAACTCCACTCAATATTTTTTTCATATTTTCCTAAAAATTGGTATGTAATATAAATTTCAATCTATTGTTATATATATATATATATATATTTATAAAAGATATGTATGTGTATTTATACACGTATAAATTTATTTTAACTTTCTTTATGTACAAAACGATTCAAAATAACCTGATGTTTTTGAAATATCATATCCTTGAGCGATTTTTAAAACGATTTTTTTTTTTGTCAAAATTTTGTCCGAATTTTACACGCACTGTGACTGCGAAGTATTTCACGTTTCTCTTATGATGTGTTGCACAGTCCGTGCTTGCTCGATGTGCCGGACTCACGTGTGTACAAGCAACGAATTATTTTCAATTACGTCTCAAAAACTAATCTTTGAACAAAATTTTGCTAAAAGGAAGTTTAGTTTAGAAATCGCTGAAGAATATGACATTACAAGGACATCAGATTGTATTGAAGCACCTTGTACAAATAATATTTTGATGCAATCTTTATAGAAATTTGCTATTACCTACCATTACGTTGTTAGCATCTTTAATTGAAATCAGAACAGTCATATGTTCAAAAGCTTTAAACATAGAATACCATACCACATAATTCGTTTCTCGTGACAAAAATGCAGAAATGTTCCAAAACGTAACATAATCAATTTGTTTATGTATGAAGAAGTGAAAAGCATCATCTATAATTTGAGCCCGATTAAGAACATGTATGTTGATATATTTCGTAGAATTCATGTATTGCACAAGTTTACGCCAATTTTCAGTATCGTAATTAACACGATAGTATCCTATTATAAAAAAAGTTTTTATTATTAAAGTTTCTTGATATAGCTTATCATAAAATAATTTCTAATATCGCTTTTTGTGAAACAATTCCTATTAATTTTTTTATAAAATGCTTTGAACAATTTGTTATAAAAAACTGTAAGAGCGAATAGCGTGAGAATGTACGAATAGTCTGAGAATTTGTGTTTACGAGTGACATGCACAACTGTGCAAGTGCATGTGTCACGAGCATTAGGGTGCATAAGATTACAAAAGCAAAAAGATATCAAGATAAAACATAATAAGTGTAATGTTTTACATTTACCTATTTTTTGTAAATTGACTATAATCCAATCATCTTTATCCAATATTCCCGATAATGTTTCCAATCCTTGTGGTGCTATCCTTAACGAATTATTAAGATAAATGTCTTGAAAGTTCATGATTGATTTTGTTGTATATGTCACGAATGCTGAGAGATGTTCTGTATCCTCGCCATTATAATCAAAATTGAGGTATTCGAATATTGTCAAGTTTTTCAAATAACTGCGTGTCACGTATAGTACAGGATAATATTTTTCCGCTATCTTATCAGATATAAATCCTTTTATAAAAGATTCGCTTGAATTATCTGGATACGTACGTAAGACAATTTGCATAATGTTCCATAAATTATTTGTTTGATTATATCTGTAAAATGGAAAATTTTTATAATAATATACACTATGCGAATTTTTAGCAAAAATTTTTTGTTTGCAAAACTCAAAATTATTATTTGTACTAAAATATTAACACTTTCGCTGCCACTCACGTATTTTTACATTCATACTTCGGTATAAGTCAGGAGCTGGTCACGAAATAAAGTAACTTATTTCTACAGTGACATATTTTTTAGAATTGAAATGTTGCGCTTTAGTGAAACTGATATATGTAATATAAACGTGATCTGTTCAATTAGTAGATTCACTTAAAATTCATAGTTTGTACCAGTGACGCACTCACGGGGGGGGGGGGGTTGGCGATTAAAGCCCCTCACAAAATTTAATTAATATACCTTATTTTTTTATTAACTTAACAGCAAAGAGTAAAAAATCTGTAGTTAAAGAAAATGCGTTTAAACATTTGTATTTTTTGTCTGTTATTAACTATAGTCACAATTTTAATAATTCAAAATTCACGCCAATATCCTTGCACACAAATAATTGTGATAGCTTTTTCAGCTATACTGCTGTTTGAACGTATAATATCTACTTTAAGATATTTATATTGTGAAAGGATTTAAATAAGTTACTTAAGAAACATCTAGCAGTTATATGTATATATATATATACAATATAGACAAATTTTCTGATTATTTAAGCAATCCAGTTAATCTAATTATTTGAGAAAAACCAAGAAAACTCTCTATCAATTTATAATTATGCTACTATAAAATTAAATTGTATTTTTTATTAAATAATGTAACATTTTTACATTTTTTAGTGTGCAATATAAAATTATTCTGACTTTTGATCATACTGTTTCATTTTATGTGTGAATTTTAAACCCCTCCCCCCACCCAAAAAAATATCCTGAATGCGCCACTGGTTTGTACATTCCCCGTTTGTTCGTATACTAAATTAGCTTATATCAAATTTTTTAAGCTTTAATATTTGTTTTAATGACTATTTTGGCGAATGTAATCTAAATAACAATAATTGTCTTTTTTAATAATATCAACTTATTTTATATACAAATCGCTTTCTAAAAGTATTTTACTTTTACTATCACTTTTATTGTTCTTTTCGGTGCGATAGAATTTGGAGGATTTTATTAAAGTGTATCAAAAACCGATATACTCAACGTGGACGATTTATTGATATGCAAATTAATATAAACTGACATTAATAAATTCCAATTTAAAAACAAGGATTTGAATTATTACTATCTAGTTTTTTATAAATGTCTTACCAAAAGAAAATGGCATTACTATATTATTAGCAATATTAAACAATTTTTTTATAATACTTAACAATTTATTGCAGTATATTTTTCTATTTCCAACATGTTCTACACTTTTTTATAGATACGTCTGTCTTGGGATACAATTTTCAATTTGTGTGCGTTTTAGAAAAACGTTAATTTCTTAAATGTTAGAAATAATAATATAAAAAATTTAGTACCATTTAATAAAAGGCAGTATCTAGTAGATATATAAATAAATATTTTGAGTTTTTTACTTATTGTAAGAGATAATTTCTAAAAACTAAATGGTATGTTGGTTTTGGTAATTTTCCTTCAAAAATCAACTTTATGTTTACAGTTTTGTAGATTTAAGATAACTCGATAGGTTTGAAGCAGTTTATATTTATCCTTTTGAATTTTAGAATTTTAAATACATACATTATTTTTCATTAACATTCAATTTTTGTAATTATTATCTAGCAAAAGAGATAAAAAAATATTCCTTACTGTTTGTTATTAATATATGTGTGGATACCAGTCCAAAACACATTAGCAGTCAACTGGTGTAACATGCGCCATATATTTGATGCTGAAACAATTAAAATTATAGTGTGCTTGTCAAGTACTTTGAAATATATATTTTCTAAAAGTTTAGATAAATGTTTTGTTATAATAAAATTTATGTATGTCAGTATATTGTATTTTAAATTGTGTGTAATTTTATATTTTCTTTTATAATATTTGAAAGTTTGCATATTATTCAATAGTATTATTTAATTATCTGTACTTTAATCATTCGCAAGATTTTACTTATATTTTCCTAACTTACGTTTTACATGATCTAGAAGATAGCTAAGTGAATGCGTTTCAATTG